ACCTGCAATTTTCCTAATTTGATTTTCAAAAAGTCTTTGATGATAATGTAATTTCATATGAAATGAAAAAGCGACTGGCACTACTTCACTAGATTACTGTACTGTAAGTAGTACTTCACTCCGACTTGTCCACTCTCGCCAATTCTGCGAGGCGGTCTCGTATTACCAATTCCAAACGTCACTCGTAGAACTTGAACCGAATGCTGAACAACTAATCGTGCCAGCTGCGTTTTTTACGTCGTTTGATCAGAGAGACGCAAACCAAACAGTGCTCGCGGTTTTATTGAGGATACCGTGTTTGCCGGAGCTAGCTTCACCACCGGTGGCAGTAGCACGGGCAAACCGGCAGTGGCACTGTCCAGAGGGGCAAGAGGCGAGGGGCAGACAACCGACGCTGCACTTGGCCAAGCCTTGGCATTATGCAGTCACCACCAGACACGCGGCGAGCAGGGAGAGTGCTCAGCTGCTTGCTCCTGACCGCCGCGCCGAGCTGGGCGTCGCCGTCGTCAGGTTCAGGAGCAAGTAGCCGCAGCCGGTTCGGGACGAGTGCTGGAGCTGAAGCCGGGCTCCCTCCCTCCTTACGGGCTCCCTTCCGAGCTCCCTCTGGACTCCCTCTCTGGGCTCCCTCCATTACCTGCAATTTCAGATCTCGGGGCGAAACGAGCAGGCCAAACTTGAAAACCGAGCTCCTCGCCGATACCCATACCCGAATGCAATTGTTATAGGCCTGCCATGCCATGTCATGAAAATTTTACGACGTCGAAGACTTGATGTGCAGTGTGGTGTGCATTGACCCCACATTTCCCATCTCGTTCATATTCACTCAATTCCGCTTTAACTTTTACCCACAACGATCTTAAAACAATTCTCCCCGATCCCTATTGAAGAACTAGAGTTTGCAGTACTTTCGATAGGCGTGAAATTTTGCTGAGTCGGTCTTGTGCCGAAGCATGCTTCAGCACACACCCAAAAAAACTAAGCTTTTTTAATCAAGTACATTGTACTTTTTGGCTTTTGGAGGTAACATGAATAATGTCACTTTTGATGAAGAAGCGGTATAGTAATTCCCCCTTTTCGACCAAATTGCACCATATCGGGCGCATGTCCATGTCGCACACGCGCAGACCGCAGACACACTCACCGCCGAGCAGCCATTGTTCCGGCTGGGCCCCGGGCCGGGGTGACGGGCCGGGCGGACCCTGACCGCTTTCTGAAGGCGCGCCCTTCCCCTCCCTTCCCCGCGAAGGCCCCCTCCCCCTCCTTTTCCACTGTCTGCTACGCCACGCCACCTGCCCTGGGGGGGATTCTCGGACAAAATGACGAAACGTGTTTGACATGGCGTGAATGCGAATGAATGAAAACGCACGTAATTGAAAGCCCGATTTAGACCGTACCGAAGAAAGAAAGTGACGATTAAATCTTACGAGGCCGTAGGAGAGAAGTAGGGTGCTAAGTAAGGACTTTTTTTGTCTTTCTCTGGTGTGTCCTTCTTATCAAATTTTCGTTTGCCCCTCGCAGTCATCGAGCTCAGCGACTCGGACGCCCAGTTCGTGAACATCCTTTCAGCGAGCGTCGACAACGGCAAGCTCACCAAGACTCCCGAGGGCACATTGCAGGCCGTGGACAAAGGTGAGCACAGAGTGCGCGACGTCATTCGTCATTCACATTGTTTGGTTCCCATGCCGGCAGTGTAAATGGGGTGCGCAGTCTGTTTGTACACATGCCACTTGAAGTGAGTCAAACAAAGGCCAAAGCATCGTGCCAAATGATGTGCCTAAAGGGGGAGGAATCCTCCCAAATTAATATAGGGCAATATAGGCATTATCTTAATCTTTTCGAAGGCGAGTGCCTAAGCGAGTGCAGCGGGTCCAGCCAGGGCGAGGTAGCCGATGCGGAACTCGCAGCCCAACCGCTGCACCGGCCGAGAGGACGCGAACCAGACTTGCAGTTCCCCTCGTCTTTCTGGCTGCAGTTCGTCGTCCTCCTTCATCGTATGCTGCAGCAAACAACGAGAAATAAGGTATGAACTCAGAAAAAAAATCGAAACGAAAGAACACTTTTAGCTCTTGAACCTTCACAAAATGTCCATGAGTATGCGCAGTAGTAAAAGCTTTACCTCAAAATATCCCCTTCTCCAACGCAAATTAAAATTATTTTTGCGATGATAGCGCAGGAGCGGGGAGCTCCTCCGGGCCTTAGGCTGAGACGTGTACTTAACACAGTCGGCAGGGTGCGGCGAGCCACCTGAACGAGACATTCCAGGCGGCCGCTTGAACTTGGGTTCATCGTTTCCTTTGCCTTGGCATCCAGAAGTTTAATATTATACAAAGAAATGTTTGCTCAGTTCTATGCATTGTGATCGAACAACTTACTTAATAATGCTTTATAGGTTTTGGTTTATTTGCATCACCGCAGTTTTTCTTGTGTGTTTCTAATTCATTTCACCCCCATCGTTGTCTATCCTTTTAGACGGCCATGCGGATCCAGTTTGCCCATCACACCATGTGCTCCCTGATGGTGGCCATCCTGTACTTCAACGTGGCCCGTGACGGCTCACAGTTCTTCACGCACATGAAGTTCTCCATCGGCCTCGTCTTGTTCTACACCTACACACACGTCATGGTCCCCGTCCTCGTGTGTGAGTTGCGTCACTGTACTCGTCGGCGGTAAAAGAAGAGGTGCCGGTGTACTTTTATTCTGCATTGTCTGCGTTCTAAACTAACCCCCTTTTTCAGACCCGTACGACGTAAAGCTGTTTAAGAAGGAGCACTTCAATCGGTGGTACAGCCTCAACGCCTACTACGCGGCCCTGTGTGTAGCCAAGATGCCCATACAGGTAAAGACGGTATAGAATACGTTTGCCGTCGTTGTGTCGTCACCCGTCTGCCAAACGTTTAAACAATCTTCTCACGCAACGCCGCAGTTTGTGCTGTCCACCTACTTCCTGTCCATCATCTACTACTTTTCCGGACTTCCGCTCGAGTTTGACCGCTTCGCCATCATGGCGCTGACGGGCATCCTCATCTCGCTGGTGGCTGAGGGCATGGGCCACTCCATCGGTGCTGTCTTCAGCGTGACGGTGAGTACTCCCGGCAGCGTGGCGGTCGCGCCGGCGCAGGCAGGCCGCCCGACAACCGCTGGCGCGGAATGGGTTGCCTGCCGGGCAGGCGCACCAAGGTGCTCGGCACATCAGCACAGCAGATGGGTAGCATGCCCAAGAGGAAATCCATGGCCGCCCATGCCCTGGCGGCAAATGGGTTGCCTGCCCGGCGGGCGCTCCCGGCCCCCCTGCTGAGCTCGCTGTTCCGCTGTTCCAGAACGGCTCGGCCGTGGGCCCCATGCTGATCGCGCCCTTTATGGGGCTGGCGGTGTACGGCTTCGACTTCGCGCCGCAGATCCCGTGGTACATCAACGCACTCATGAAGACGTCCTTCCTGCGGTCGGGCGTGGCCGCCTTCGTGCTGACCATGTTCGGCTTCGGCCGGGAGACGCTCGACTGCAACGAGTTCTACTGCCACTTCAAGAATCCGCGGTACGTGCTCCGCTTCCTCGACGTGGAGCACCAGAGCGCCTGGGGCGAGATTGGCAACCTCGTCATCCTGGGCGTCTTCTACCGCCTCACCTTCTGGGTCGGCCTGCGCTGGCGGACCTCCACGTGAAGTGCGCCGTGTTGATATCATATGACTGCAGACGAAAAAAAGTCACCCTACCCGCAGACAAATAAGGGGAATATAGTTCGACTTGGATTAGCTGCGCTTGCGTTAGATTTAAGACAATCGTGATAAATCTGTGTTCTCGGTAATAGTGTTAATGCCAGCCAACGCAGGGTATACTTTTAGTCAGTCCCGAAGACTGTCTGAACCAGCGGGTGTAAAGAGCATTCTCCCTCCGTCCTCGCTCTTTTCTCTCTAGCACAGGGTCACACGTGATCTTGTTGCCAAAAGCCGGGCCAGAACTATTCAACACTCCGTGTGAACAAATTTAAGTCGAGGCATGTTTAAAATGTTGTGAACACGCTGGCCAGACCAGTCTTTAAATTTGGTGGCAACTGTACCGCACGCAGAACCGCAGGTGTGTTGCCTATTCGCTAGGGGCCATAAGGCGCTATTATTCGAGCAGACGTGAGAAGACGATCGGCTGAGCGGCCAGCGCGTATGCATGAGGCACAGTGCACCCCAAAAAAGGAGGCTCTGGCAAACTACCCGGTACCTTTTAATTCACTTCTAATACCACCACATATCAGTACAATATGTCTGAAATAGACCGTCCACTTTTGTAGGTATAGTGAAGAACATGCAGACGTGCGAGCGGGTTTGCCCACCGTCCTCACTGTCCGGGCGAGTAAGATGGGATCCTCCAGAAATGCCGTCCATTTTTTTTGACAGAATCATTGGGCAAAATACGGGAGCTGGGCGCCTGCAAGACTCAGGGTAGGCCACTCCGCAGTACTCGCATGCATAGAAGGCGAGATTTTGCCTACCTAACAGGCGCTCCGAGAGTCCGGACGTACTTTCTGGGTGATCCCCAAGCAACCCGACTGTACTGCATGTGGTACATCATAATTTTTAAAGTAAGCGGAGCTTTTTACCCCCTCGGGATGAACAAGAACAGCTGGCGAGTTCATCGCCCGGCACCCGGTCCCTGGTTGTGAAGTGATGTCAACATGAATTCAATTGAACCGAGGTACTTGTGTGTGTATGTGTTTACCAGTACCAGCCAGTCAGTTCACTCAATAACACGTCCAGTCGGTGGGTGGGTCATCTTTCTGGCCATCGTCGTGGTCAACATGGGTGTCCAAAAATTTCTAGGAAATTTGGCAAAACAAATTTTGTTATATCTCTTAAAGTTTTGATGTCCAGTTTTATTTTTTCAAATTTTTCTGGAAATATTTCAATTTTTGCCGTTTTTTCTTGAGAAATTTCCAACCTTTTTTCCGGAAAAAAATCAGACTTTTCAATCTGCAGCCCAAAAACATAGGGCGCCGCGACGCCACCACGGCCTGCTCAGCGGCCAGCGGCCCGAGTGACGCGGTCACAACAAGTAAGGCGGCCGGGCGCGGCTGCGCGGCCAGGGTCACGGCCGCCTCAAAGGTCCCGCCGCCGCATACCCGGAACGCATGCCGCGGCTCCGCGTTCGTACTACGCGGCCACGCGGCGCGACCGAAGGAGGAGGCGAACTGTACAAAAAAAAAGTAAATCACGGTCACTGTCACCCACACGAAAAGTAACTGTTAATTTAGTCCACTACGACCAAGCGGACTTTCAGCACCCCTTTCACCACGAGAACCCGCGTAATGGAAATGCACGTATTGAAAACTAATGGAAAAATTCCCGCTGATTCGAGTTAAAATTAGCGGGACTTTTTCCGTAAAATTTTCATCTACCTTGCCACTATCGTGTTTGCATGGGCTCCTATTGGAAGATTGAAACAGAAAATCTGTAATCTGTGCAAAGGGGTCGTTTGGTAGGGGAATTCGGAGATAGCTTCATGGTTCTACACTAGAATCTGATATCTGATTTTTCACAGTGCAGGCTTCTGGCACGTGGATGATATCTCACCTCAACCGCGCATAGTGCTGTTAAAAGGCGCGAGATTTATTTTGGGACGTCGAGTGTTATCTGACCTTTGGATTGTATGAAGTCGCCTTTTCGGCGCCAAAGGAAAAGAATGCGGCCAGAATAAACGACGCCATTTGACCTCCTGCTGCGTGTCCTTTCGCTTGTCCGTCCCGTCCACTCCGAGCCGTCGTAAACAGAGGCAGCAGAGGCGCCTTGCGCCTTTGGAATTGGTTGGTGCGATTGGGGAGGGGGGGGGGGGTTCTAGCGCAGGGTCATTGCCGCGCAGGGCTTGCTGTCGCCTGATGCCGAGGCCCCCCTCCCCACCCCTCGAGTCTTCCCGCGTTATCGAAAGAGTTCTGGGCCGGGAGATGTTGCGCCGAATCAGGCGAGATAGGTCAGTGTATGGGGGGCGGAGTATAGGAAATGCGCGCGCATAGTCCAATGGCTGTGGGCTGTGGGCGGAATGCTTCCTCTCCTTCACCCGTGGCTGTACCACACAGATCAAGAGAAAAAAACAACACTCACTCTGTTGAATCAACACTGTGAAACCTTGCGAACCATTTGTTCGTTTTACAACTCGCGTAGTGTATAACGTTGCGAAGCATGGCGAGTGGTGCAGGCTGTAAATTAATGATAGTTTTTTAAAACCTCTCGTATTCGGGAGTAAAGTGAAATGTGATATGTATATTTTTACTACTTTACCAAGAACCTCGTTTCCCGGTGGTGGAGAACGTTGCAAGTGGATTGATTTAGTTCGATTCTCTTCATTAGTTCATTCAGTCACCCTTCTCTTTCTTCGCAAGTATGTATGAGATGACACGATAAAAACCAACGCACTGATTTCCAAGCAGCTCGAGTAACAAAAAAGAAAAGAAAATCATAGCATTGATTTCATTTGATTCTCAAAAGTGTTGCTTTGTTTTACCCCGACTGGCGTGGAAATCAGTTCGAAGCCAGTTCGGTTTTAACATCGTATATGATACAAAACATTATTCTCGCAGCAATTACCAGTTTCCGACTAAAATTGTCCTTTTCTTTATCTCTTTTACATAATACTGCCAAAGATAGGAGGGTCTCGGAATCAACTTTCGCTAATCTTAGTTAATTATAAAAACCACTAGGAATAAGGTCTTTTGAGTACTCGTTCGACTTCAACGAGAACTGGAGACACCCTGATTGTTGCTCAACTAGCTGGTCTTACAAAATCTACCACATAGTTAGTTAAGTTTATTAATTGTACTTGTTTAATATACTGATTGTACCTCCATTCGCTAAATAATAATAATAAAGAAACATACAAAAAATGTTGTAGAAAAATTACAAAAATGAAGTAATAATAACGACAGAAACCCCAAAAGCTGAGTCGCGCGGTCTCTATCCATCCCGAGCAGTCGCGTGCGCGGCTGCGCCACACTTTTCCCATATCCCCCGTCCCTCCGTTGGTACTCGTCCCGTCCGCCTCTTTGGGGCCGTTTCATCACAAGTTTTGCTCCCCGCGAGCATCAGCATCAGCGGCGGCGGCGGCGGCGTATCAGCCGCAGCAGCAGCGGTCTAGACCGGGCCGCGCAGCGCCGCCGCGCAGAGCACTGACTGCATAGCAGAACGCGTTATAAATCCCCTGACCATGACGACGCGCGGTGACCTACTGAGTTGTGAGTGCATAGCCCAGTGGACAGCGGGGCTGCCGCCGGGGGCCGGAGCTGCAGCTACATTAGCATGCCGTAATGAGCGTGGGCTCCCCTCGGGCTCCCCTCGGACGCCTCGAGCCCGGGCCCGGGCCAGGCCCTGCTGCGGTGCAGGTGAACACGGGGCGGGGCGGGAGGGCGATGCCGCCGTGTCGGGGAGTCTTCTTCCTACTCGCGATACGTCCGGCCCGGCCTGGCCGCTGCTGGTGTCACACTGCCGTCGCTCTGCGCCGTTATATGTCCCGCCTCGCTTATAACCTTTCGTCTCACGGAAGCTTGGGGGGCTATTATATACGGATTTTTGTCCTTGCGCCGCGCGTGCCGATCTGAAGGTTGCCACATTCGCGAAGGACAGCAGGAGAACGGATGTCACCCACATTTTTTGCCGTTTCCTGAGTGCACTCAGAAACACCAGCCAAAAGATTAGGGAGAATACATATTTGAATAAATAAGTTTCATGTCCGATAAAAGTGCAATTTCTAGTTTTTATTTAACCGCGAATCCCTAGCGATCATTTACATGTTGTTTAAGCCCCCCTAAAGAGCAAGTAGTGCATGCTGGACGCGCGTGAGTGTGTCCAGTGCAGAGGCTGCATCCATGCCCTGTACCCGTTGTGCTGCAGGCTTATAAAAATGCCTGATATGGAAACAACACACCATACTTCGAAAAAAAATAAGGTGTGCTATTCAGAGGCATCTTTCCGGGTGGCGTTCTTGTGCGGCGCCGTGTGAACATGAATATGAATGCTGACGTGTGTGCCGGCCGTTGACCAAGTGTTCCGCCGCGGTAAAGCTATCCGTTTGATGCACGCTGGTATGAAACACCGCGTTAAACGTGGAACTGTATGTCGGAGCTTTACGCGCGCGTTTTAGTTTGTGGGAGCAGGTATTGTAGGCGAGGGGCGTTATGCCTATGCCGATGACCGCCACCAAGAGCGCCAGGCGCCAGGGGGCCTGGGGCCGTTAGGGTGGGTATTATGTTCCGTTGGCTCGGCCGGTAGCGTCCAGCTGCCGATGGTGCCCGATGATGCCTGATGGTGCCCGATGGCGGACAGTGACGGTACTACCATCGTCACATCACATTCCTGATTTGACGTCAATGCCTGGGAGCAAGAAGCTTCGCGGATCACGCGCCATGATCGTCCCCCGAGACGGGGAAATCCCGACATGAGACGTGCGACCGACTCTATTCATGGGAGACGTTTAAGCGCCTCTACTGCAACTTTGCGTCGTTTGAGGAAACGGGAAATGCATGAATGCAGCAACACAGTCAAACACGAGGGGTTTTCGTGAGGGCAAGCCCGCTTACGAAAGTGTGTCCTGGGCATCTTTGATTGAAGGCGATCGAAGGATCATACAAAGTGAGTACTTTTTTTTGCAGATTCAGATTGCAGGGGCTCCGCGCCTGCGATATGCTGGGTAGGCCACCCCGCAGTACACGTATGCAATGCACGCAAGATGTTGCCTACCTACTAGGCGCTATGAGAGCTTCCACGTTCGTAGCGACGAATGACGTTAGGTGTCAAACTCGGGAGGTGGACTACTTGACCCTGTCATGTGACGCACCTAAAGCTTAAACATTGCGAGGTGTACACAGTAAGAATTGCGATCCACGTCAAATGTGACTGAAGGTGTTTATAAGCTCTTGCCAATTGACCCCTACTAACGATTGGTTTACAGTGCAGATGAGAACGCAGCGGTGTGCGACTGCTTGTATAGCTTCTCCCACGGTGCACCACTCAGGCAGATGGCTCCTTTCGATCTCGCTTTGTAGCTCATTCCTATCGTCACCGCCCCGGTATTGCAAAGAGGCGGGCGGCCAGGGGCGACCGGGCGGTTGCGGTGTGTATCTGTATCGGCACTGCTGTCGCCGTGCGAGAATGACAGAGGGAGATGGCGCGAGCGCGACCTCCTGCGAGTGTGGGAGAGCGAGAGGTATATAGAAGGGAAGTCCGCACTGCCCCGCCTCTGATCACAGCGTCTCGTTGCTTTGCAGCAGATCCGCCCAGGACGCTCCGGGACGCTCCGGGACGCGACGACGTGGTGCGATGCGATGATCCCATCGGGGAGACTTCGTTAAAACTCCCCGCCGCGCCCCTCACGCCCCCGTTCGCCTCTCGGCTCTTGCTCTATGGTAATTAGCTCCCTCCTCCTGCAATCGGCCGGTGGACGCGCACGCATCGGAATGGGGCCGGCGGTACCGCGTGGTGAGGTGAAGCGCGGCAGAAACGGTGCGTCCGAGCGGCAGCAGCATGCAGTGCATCGCTGTGTGAGCCACTCGGTGGGCAGCTTGGGCTGGGCCGATAGGCTGCGGGCCCGGTGCCGCGGCTGTCTGATGAAGTCATCGATCTGCAGGCAGGAGGCACCAATTACCTCCACTCGGTCCGCTGTTGTAGCAGCAGCCCTCCTCACAGATACACCCCGCACTTTCTGTGAAATCGTGTAGTGAGTCGGAAAACTTGTGTGGTTTGTGTGTTGTTCACCCAATTTCCGCCGACACAGCGCTTCTTTCCTTTACTTCCGGCGCGCCACGCAAAAGTAACTTACTTAGAAAAAGAAAGGGAGCAGAGCGTCGGTCAGCCGGACCCCGGACTATTACATTGGATTTGGGGGTGCTTCATTCACGCAGTGATCGCGGCTGCTTCGCCTGCCGTGCCCTTAACGGTCGCTCCTTATTGGGACCCCAATAGGACCCCGAACGCCCCCTGTTTGTAGGTATACAGTTGTAGTTGCAAGCGACAGTAATACTCACCTCAACACCGTCCTTTGCGTTAAGTGAAGAAAAGTACATCCAGACGGAAACAATCAAAAGTATGGGAAAATGTTCGTTCGTACGCCGCAGGCGTTAGCAATTTTGAGTGATCACGCGGCGGGAACTGTCGCTTCCAACCACACATGTTCTGACCACTTGCACTCGGATGTGCTTTCCTTCCCTAAAGTTGTTATTCGGGGTAAGGAAGGGGGGGGGGTGAGAAATGGCTTGGCTGCACCGTTTGGATATAATTTGGTCTACCGTCGGTTCGGCTGAAGCTGCATATCGGTATCGGCAGTGTCGGTTGTGGCTACACAGCTGTGTAAGCGGCAAACAGTGGGCGTTTTCCTCGGACGCTCGGCTCCCGTTGCCCGCGGGCAGCAGAGTGCGTAAACAGTCCGCAGGCCACTTGATCGGTCACGCATTCCGCGCCGAAAAAACCGACACTGTCCCCTCGCAGTCGCCTGCTCCTGTCTTGTCCGGCACTGCCCGGTATCGTGCGACCAGCAAGGCGGCGGCGAAGAAGTGGCGTGGTGGCGCTGTGCTCACCAGAGTCGTGTCGTACGGGGACGCTTTGACGTGCACGCCATCACAGCATTGTTGTGCACTTTTATGCATCGTGTGTGGAGAAAAGTGTCCCTGCCGGCGCTTTTTCTGAGGCAAAAATATTTTTATTTTCTTGAAATCACACCAATCATAAGAACCATACTATCCTTCTTATTGTTGCGCTGTTTTCTCGCCCTTTTATTAGAAAATGAAAATAATAGCGAAAGGCCGTCACATGAAACTGGCGTGGCTGTCGCCGCCCCCTTGCAGTAAAAGAATATATAGAAGAGGAAAGTCGTGGACGCGTGGCGTGACATATTGGAGTCGTCGCGCCGAAAACGACGTTTTCACCGGCGCGGTGGGCCAGTCTGCCGACGTCTGCGGCGGGCCAATACAAACAGATGACGAACGACCGCAGTAGCCGGGCGGCGGCGGGTTGGCCCGGGGGCTTTTGAAACGTGATGAAGGGCAGGGCAGGTAAAGCACTGCTCCCCCCTCCCTTTTTCCTCCGAGCGCCATCTACCGTACGACTGATCTGGTGCTGCCATCCTCCGCTCTACGGCCCGCCACGCCCCGCCCCGCCACGCCACGCTCGGACACGCTCCAGATATGAAGATGCCCGCGGCTGCGCACCGCGCTCCGACAAGGCCAAGGGCCAGGCGTCCGTAGAGCGGGCGGAGAGACAGAGCACCAGGATCGGTGCAGATTTGGGCGGTTTGGACGATGAAACCGCGACCCTCTTTGGTAGGGGGTGGAATAGGTAAAACTAAATAAGTATACGGGCAGAAGATATGGCTCGGTAGGTACTCATTCAACGTTGTTATGCTTCGTCCTGCTCTGCTCTAATGGCGGACCGTGGTTGGTGCACGTCTTGCAGATATGTGATTGATGCATTTCACGTAGACGTATACGTGGGAGGTTTTTTCAGGTCACACGTTTAGGCTACCCCAGACATTCGATGTCACCAACTCGACAGTACTATCGTTTCGATACCGGAACGCGAGGAATCGTTGTTGGGCGCTCCCGAGAGAAGGAGGGCCGCCATCTCCATACAGGTGCTCGGCGGGTTGGCCCACCTAGCGTGTGGCAGGCGCTCTCATTCGGTACCACCATCGGGATAAGTAAGTAAATACTTATTTAAGGCCTTCGGGCAACAGCATGACGGCCTAATATGTACAATTTAGATAGAACCTAGTTTGACGCCGATAAAACCTGCTAACGTTAAATTTATCGAATTCTGTAGAAATTACGATGAGGAGGTATGTAGGTAGAGGTTGGGGCAAAGTATTAATTGTTCGGTTATTGCAACGATTTCGACGCTGCCGGCACTGAAATGCAAGTGGCGGATGATGGTCGGCGGTCGGCGCCCTTGCTG